ATTTCAGCTTGGAGGGCACATCAGGAGATCATTAGTCCCACCTTCTGCTCAAAGCAGGGTCAGCTATGACCCTTATTTGCTTCAACAGGAATACACAGACTTTCCTATTACATCTGCATGAGGATGACAGTGGCTATGTCTTGATGGGTAAATTAAACAGCCCCAGGGAATGTTAGCTGTCACCAAGAAAAAATGGCACAGACTGGCCAACTCCATTCTTCTAAACTACTTTTGCTTCCAAAACCAGGCAGTTGCATTCAAATTGCCTACTGGAAATGGTCTTCGTCATATGCAAACTCCTGAACCTGGGTACAGGTTGTGAGAGAGCTAACTGGCAAGGAAAAAACATTCTGGGGCTGCTTTAAGTATCTCAAAGTATAAACAGAACCTTGCGCAGTTAAACTGGTCAGCACAGATGTAGCCAGTGTGTCACTGTCTGAACGTGCAAGGTGTGAATTCCAGGGCACGCAGATTTTTGGCAGCTACAGAAAAGGTTGAAAAGCAGATTTCTGACTTTTGGCTCACCTTCTACATGCAAATAGGAAAACCTCTGATTAACAGTGCAAAAATCAAATACCCATCAAAGAATGCTGGCCAAAGGGAAATGCCAAGATCCAATTAAATCAATGAAATTTTTATCACTGACTTGACTGAAATGATATATGGCATGAATAGCGTCAGTCACAGTTGCCTCATCCTGGGTAAGATATCAGACAGCTTGTGAGTTAAACAGGGCTGCTTTATAGATCATCAATAATGCAGCTTCATGCACGTGCTTTGTCAAAGTATTTGCAGAGAGCCTGTAAAACAGTTGAAGCAAATATATTTTTTTTAATTAGAAGCTTCACTGATAGTTTAATAAATTTAAGAGGCAGAAGAACTAAAAGATGTGGAACGCCTGAGCTTATGCAAAATAAACACTCTTCATTTTTTCAGTATCTAGTACATGCTATTATTTATAAGAAGTTTTTTTCTGAATAAATGAGAACTACCCCTATTGATGAAGATGATCCAGTGTTCGCTGTTTCAAAGTTTTTAATTGTTTTTTTCCTATAGCAGTATATAAACAAGACCTCTTAAAGCATATGGTAGTCTCGTTATTTGGGAGATTGATTTGACCACGGTGAAGTCCCCTTCTGTACGTAATTCAGAAATCTGTTTCACCCCACATCACTCCAAATTTTAAAGAAAAAGAATAATTCCATGGCTTTTTACATACTAATCGATCACCTCGCTTTTAAACTACAACCATTTATTCTTTATTCAATTTAAAACCTTACAACAAGGGTTTAGTGAAAACTAATGTCTCCACAAATAAGTTCTCAACTGCTCTGCTTTCAGTCTTGTGTTGCAAATAATATAGCAATGGGAGCAGGACCAGATAGCTGTTCTGCTTTGGTTCATGTTCTGGACAGAGTCTGTTTAAATATATCTCAGACTGCCTGTGGCTCGATTCAGTCAGGTCCCCTCATGCAATTAGTTTCCTACCTATCAACATAAGAGCACATTGCTGTGAAGGGTGAGTAAGAGGAGGATGTGAAGATGGGGGCCCTGCAGGTGCACCAGCACCGCAGCAGACAGAAAAACAGAACAGCCTTCAGTCAAAGGATGCAGGCAGGTAGCTAAATCCACACTGACTGCAGATGAAGAGCTGAGATCAAATATCACCTGAGCAGCACACAGGAATAAGTTTCTGGGAGGTTGTGAAAAACAACAGATGAGGCAAGGGAGATAGGGCCTTGATTAGGGTCTGCAGTGTCATGCAGGAGGCGGTGTGGACAGCACATCTATGTGAAGTTTTGAACAAATGCAGAGGTCCTATGTGGCTGATTGAGGCTGATGAAGCCTTTTCAGGCCATCATCACATTTTTATGACAAAGGAAAAGTTAAAATCCAGCAATCCTTAGTGAACACTCTGGAAACAGAGGGATGTATTGCTCACTTGCACCATCATTTGTACCTGGTCTCTCCAATGAGATCTTTGTGTGTTAGTTCTCATACTGGGTACAAATACAGGACCATAATTTATAGTATTGAAGAGAAGAGAAGAGAAGAGAAGAGAAGAGAAGAGAAGAGAAGAGAAGAGAAGAGAAGAGAAGAGAAGAGAAGAGAAGAGAAGAGAAGAGAAGAGAAGAGAAGAGAAGAGAAGAGAAGAGAAGAGAAGAGAAGAGAAGAGAAGA